TGTAGCCAGGCTATCATGTTGAGCTGTCACTTATATTGAGTCATGTCCACATGTCTCCTAGTCTGGAAGTTTGTGAAATCACCCTCCATCAGAAAGAGTTCGAACAATACATAGATTTGATTGGGAATCTCCGGCATACCAACCTGGTTCATCTTAGGGTTTAATAAGGCCAATTCGCCATTTAGGGGTAATTTGGTAATGAAAATTGTATCACAATTTTCTTTAACGAATACTAACGGTGCTCCATGAACGTCATGAAAAATTATGATGAATTTAATAGAAATGGTGAAAAGTCATTATGAATTTTAGACAATTTCGCTTATATTTAAGGACAAGATTTGGAGTCAAGGTCAAGCTTATCGTTTTCTGACCCCGTCCGACCCGGGCCCTGAACAGCTTGTTGATATTATTGGTGAAAGATTGTGTTAATAATGTATGAAATGAAGATATAAATGAATATTCGTCAAATGAGATCCGGGCTATTGTTACACGAAGATTCCATTTTAATGATGTCCGTAGAGCACTCCCAAGTCCCGATAAATGAAGATAAAAAAACACATGTGGCGTAATCAATCTCATATTGTCTCGGCTTTTAACGGTAGGGATCTAGTACGAACGAAACGCTTCCAACGTTGTCTCAGCATACGACTGCAACCGCATATTGGGAATATCTCTTTACGATGAGTCCGTTGTTTCGACAATGTTGGGAGCATATCTGAACTCTGTTTATCATCCGGAGCCAAATCCTGGTTGGGGGTTTCGAGTTTATATCTGCACCTTACAACGTCTCACAACACATTCCTGCCGTATATTAGGAATATCTCCCAATGACATCATCGAGACTAATACAATCATTGGGAGATGTTCACAACATATGGCGCGGATGTGCGGTGGGACATTATGAGGCGTAGATGTGAACTCGGGCATTTTAGGTTTCTTTTCTCCTTTTTCTCCTTTCCGGAGTTGGTACCGCACGATTGTCACAAGTGACTAATTTATCGTGCCATCAAGTGCCTTCAATATGCCCAGAGCCTGCCATCCGAGTGTCCAAGTGTGTGTCTTGGGTGGGACATTGCATGATTTGTATGGGGGGATTGTTAATGGCATTTCTGTAATTCTATAGTATGATTTTTCACCTTTTTTATGTTTCTTATTGTCACTCCTCAAAAAGCTTAACGTACTCTTTGAGAGGAGGTAGGTAGTCGAGTGAGTCGAGAGCATGTAAAGTTTAAGCATGAGATCCCCTCGACACTGAATTGTGTGCTTATGCTTGTCATTCATTAATGCAATATAAGTTGCCTTTTGTTTAATTTGTTTGACATCTTTGTTGTATTTTCTTGTGTTGTTGCTTGTTACATAGGCTTATTCATCGCATTCGAATGCCGCACGGGGCCCCAATGACTAGCCCCGTGACAGTTGGTATTAGAGCAGGAGCTCCTACACACACATTGGACCCTGTCTTCCCCCCTACTTCAGCACAATGAAGAGCAATCGTGACATTGCCGATGACATACTACATGGGCTGCATCAAGCCCACGACACCAATGAGGCTCCACTCGACGATCCTACCAAGATGCAAGTCCCAAAGGGCCGCACAACTAAAGTTAGCAAGCGTGACAAATCTGTCGACCAACTAGCTAGCATGGACATGCGTATCCTACGTTGCGAGGCGACAGTGGGAGAAACCCGAGGTTGGGTTGATGAACTCCACCTCAAACTAGAGACTGTTGAGAATGCAGTGGTGGAATTAGAAGGACGTTTCAATGGCGCCTTCAGAGACATGCACACTACCATACAAAATTCGGGAGCAGGGCCTTCCCAAAGTAGCATACAGGGCTTGCTAGACAGATTTCAAGTGCAATTGGACGAGATGACTCTCCTAAAGAGGACGGTGGCCAACTCATCTAGCACTCCCTCCACCCTAGCTTCCATGCACATCAAGATTCGTGAGCCAACACCTTAGTCGGGTGCTCGGGATGCTAGGGAGCTTGACAACTTATTGTGGCAATTGGAGCAATATTTCTCTGCCACTGGCATCATTGACAACCAAACTCAGGTACGTACAACCACTATGTATTTGACTGTTATCACAATGTTATGGTGGTGTAGGTGTTGCCAAGACATTGGACGTGGAACCCCCACCAACGACACCTGGGTTGCATTCAAGCATGAGATCAAGCGTCGATTCTACCTTGAATATGTGGAGTACATGGTGCACCAAAGAATGAAGAATCTCAGACATCAAGAATCACTACATGACTATGTGAAGGAATTTTCGGCTTTGACGCTGGAGATTTTCGACATGTTAGACAAGGATCTCCTATTCAATTTCATTGATGGTCTTAAGTCATAGGCTGAGCTTGAACTTCAACAACGCGGGGTTAAGGACCTCGCCACCGCCATGGCCGTAGCTAAGAAACTTGTTAATTTGAGGGCACCTAAGGAAAAAGAGCAAAAGCCATCCAGCCCACGTACCATGAGTTTGAGTGGGGGAGATCAACAATCAACCTCTACAAAGAAGAAGCCAGTGCACACCGACAAGCCCATCAATCACCAACAAGGGAAGACGCCACAAGCAGCACAAAGCCATCAGGGCCACCGGTACACCAGGAGACCAACTACTCCTCCCGCACCTTGTTACATTTGCAATGGAAAGCACTAGACTAGCGATTGTCCTGTGCAGAAGAAAATCAATGCCCTCATTGCCAAACTCAGTGATGATGAAGAGAGTGATGAGGAGAAAACCATAGTGGCGCCAAGAGTCGACACCCTTCAACTTATAAACGCCATGGTTAAGAAAGAGGCCACATCCAAACGGCCCACCAAAGCCCACAAGGGGCTGAACTATGTGGACATCACCCTCGGCAGGAGGACCTAAGCCTTGGTGGACACTGGGGCCACCCACAACTTCATTTCGTTTGCGGAGCCAAAGCGATTCGGCTTGGCCACCACCAAACAAACAGGGTGGGTCAAGGCTGTCAACTCAGGGGCCAAAGTAGTAGTGGGCATGGCTCGTGGAGTAGAACTCCAAGTTGGGCCATGGAAAGGACCCATCAATCTATCTGTGGTACCTTTGGATGATTTTCAGGTTGTTCTTGGAGTGGAGTTCCTCACGCAGGTGGAAGCAACACTTCTGCCACACATTTGCAGTTTACTTATATTGGATGAGCACTCCCCTTGCATGGTTCTCGTATCATCAGCCCTGCAGATACATGGGAAGCAACTTTCAGCCTTACAGTTGTACCAAGAAACAAGCAACCATGAAGCCTGCGCCGTGCCAACAAGGAAGACCCCCTGTCAATCATCGCACATCAACACTGGAACTGGTTGGGAAGTCATCACCAGGAAGAAATCTCCCCCAAAACCGTTCCGTTTCTAGCGCCAGCACCAACATCAGCATCAACATCAGCTTCAACATCAGCAGAATCCAACTTTGTAGCAGAAGCCGCAAGTGCCTGCAATTGATGGGCCCAAGGGAAGACCCAAGGCCAACTCCAACACCCAGTTTACCTACCATAATGGGAAGAGAGTGCCACCCCAACTCGTTAGGGACCATTCCAACACTCGGCTTTCATCTAACCCATATAGTAACCCTGTGAGGAGAGAACCTTGGGAAACACCCCTCTACATCCAACCCGCTCTTAATCCAAACTCACCTTTTGCACCAATCCTTCCCTTAGCTAGTAGTGCAAGTCAACCTAGGCCTCATTTGACATACCTTCAAGTCGCTAGCCAAGGACTTAATCTAACATATAGCCTTAGATCTCCCCAACGCCTCATGAACATTCAATCCCATCACCTCAGCACTTGCCCAGGCCTTGGAAGAGAAGAAGCCCGTGGAGCCACTGAAGAATCATTCACCAACAGTAGTCTCATGCCACAAGCAGAAGTTGGTCTTTGAGGACGAAGATCGAATTGAGTGGGGGAGACTATCACAAGTGACAAAATTTTCATACCATCAAGTGCCTTCAACACGCCCACAGCCTGCCATCCGAGTGTCCAAGTGTCCAAGTGTATGTCTTGGGTGGGGCATTGCATGATTTTGTACAGGGAGATTGTCAATGACATTTTTATAATTCTATAGTATGATTTTTTACATTTTTTATGTTTTCTATTGCCACTCCCCCAAAAGGTTAATGTACTATTTGATGGGAGGTAGGTAGTTGAGTGAGTCAAGAGCATGTAAAGTTTAAGCATGAGATCCCCTCGACACTGAATTGAATTGTATGATTATGCTTGTCATCCATTAATGCAATAGAAGTTGTATTTTGTCCATCTTTTGCATTTTCTTGTATTGTTGCTTGTTAGTTATTCGTCGCATTCGAGTGTCGCACGGGCCATAACGACTAGCCCCATGACACGACCGCACGATAGGGATAGAGAAAATCTCTTTTTGGTGCAAATTAATCCGACGGATCATAGCCCTGGTCCCACCACATCATACGCGCATCACAAGTGCGGGTATAAAAAAAGTTGGTGGATACTCGTCAAGACTCAAAGTACATACTCCTGAAACGAGAAACCAACCCAACTTCCAAGACAGAGGCCGCAGAGTCTAGTACTCTCTCTCTCTCCTCTCACACACTTTTTAGAACTCACACCTTTCCAGCAAAGGCCACAGTGGCACCGTCCTTTCAGTCTCCCCAGAGAATCCAAGGTTGTTTCTGTCCCTTGCATCTCAACCTTTTCCCACATTCCGGTGGCCGGAGCTCAGAATATCAGCGCGGTAGTCTTTGGAAACTTCCACCGAGCAGAGATCCACTCACAGCAACCAATGAGTACGATTACATTAAATTTTGAAATTTAAACTTTTAACACCCCGGATATCAATCCTTGCCGCCATTATTACAGTTTTTTTTTGCCGTTAACGCCAAGTCTCCTCTCTATAATTCCGTTACCCAGGAGAAAAAAGGCACGTTACAGTCAAACGAACTGTCTCAAGACTCTCAACCACCGCAAAATTTAGAATTAAAAAAAGGGAATTCACTACCTTTTCTTTAATTCCAATTCTGCCCTCCGCTCCTCACGCTCCTGCCTGAAAATCACCTTTTGGCAGTTCAATTTTAGATCAGAATTCAGAAGCAACTAGAGCTAGAGATAAGAGATTCCCTTGTTTTATTTATTGCTGTTGTGACCTAACAGACCTAATTTGCAGAAGCTCTTAACTTTGTCTTAATAAGGGTGTGTTTAGAGTAGAGATTAATCAATCATCGAGAGTAAAAAAGTACCCAAATTTTATTTTGGTCTGGGTTCGGCTCTTAATGGTTTCTAGGGTTCTTTTTTTGATTCTGTACTGTTCAGCTACAGTGGTGTCATTGTAGCCGCAGTGGTCGTACCCGCTACTACTCGGCTCTTAGCTCTTAATGTTTCTTGCTCGGAAACATGGAGGATACAGTTTAGGCCCCAACATGAAATAATTCTTCGCGTTTGCTCTTCTCTGGAGCTAGATTTGTTCTCATTTTAGAATTATTCATTTTCGTTTAGTCATTTTTCTATTTATTCGGAGTTGCTCTTGATCCACATTAGTGGAGTTTGTTTTATTCTCTTCTTGTTCGTCGAGAGACATGTTCATTTCGACTGAAGAAGAGCAGATCTCCTTGCCTTCGGAGAAGGTAAGAGAGTCAATGGAAATGGAATCACCTCCTGGGTCTAACCAGGATTCCTTCGATGGGCTCCCACCGGTTTCTGAGTCGCCAGATTCGCCGCCGGCGTTGGCAGCTTATACGGATGTTAATGTTGTTCCTGAACATGAAAAGAAAACGCTCGAACAGACCATCCTGAATCTTGAAGGTAGTTGATCTTCTTGTGAATCTTAACTGGCTTTTTTTCCTGGTCAAGTTTTGATTCTGATTTGATTCTCTAGGAGAAATCATGGGATTGAAATCGAAGCAGAGGTCTCTGGACAATAAGCGGAGGGAGGCGCTGAACAAGATACTAGACCTGAAAGGTAGTGGGTCTCATTTGGTTAACCACGAGTGTCTTCCCTTCAAACTGAGCTTTACCCAGTCATGGATTTCATTTTACAGGCAGCATTAGAGTATTCTGTCGAGTTCGGCCTTTCCTATCCACCGACAGGAGAAGACTTCAAGAACCCATTTCTTCTGGATCAGAGAGGATCGTGGTTCGGTCGGCTGGAGGTAGGAAGGAATACGCGCTAGATAAAGTTTTCACTCAAGAGTCAAACCAAGGTGAGTACCCAATTCTTTGATTCTTTTACAAGTTGATGCTTTCTGATTTACAGTCTAAGAGACTGAGGACGGAGGCTCTATCCCTTACTGAAAACTTGGTAGAAGATGTTTTCGTCGAGGTTGAACCGATACTCAGATCTGCACTTGATGGGCACAACGTCTGTATTTTGGCATATGGTCAAACTAGCACTGGCAAGACATTTACCATGGTTAGTAACTGTGATGTGAATTGGATCTTTCCGGCCTGTGATCAGTTGAATTTTGCTTGCTCATCATTGTCAACACCGGTGATTTTTAGGAGGGGACCAATGATCAGCTCGGAATTGTTCCACGGGCTCTTGAAGAGCTCTTTTGTCAAGCTTCTCGTGATAGTTCGGCTTCTTTTACTTTCTCAATGAGCATGCTGGAGGTTTACATGGGCAGTCTCAGAGATCTACTTGCCCCAAAGCCATCTGGTCGAGTGTATGACTCTGTTTGTAAATGGTAATCAGATCAACACCCACCCAGAAGACTAGAGTTGTGAACTTGCAGACTATTTGTTGGGTTAATTTTTTTTGCTTTATCTGGTTTAACAGTAATCTCAACATTCAGACGGATCAAAATGGGTCGGTGGAAATTGAAAATCTCACAGATGTCGGTGTCTCTGATTTTGCACAAGCTAGTAGGTGGTACACAAAGGGGAGGCGGGCTCGATCCACATCATGGACAAATGTGAATGAAATGTCTAGCAGATCACATTGGTGGGTTCTGATGCCTCTTCTGAGTTTCTTGATTTCATGGATTAATTTGGATTGGTAATTATATTGTCTCTTTAGTTCTATATATCTAGCTTAACTAGAATTACTATTGGGCGATCTGGGGCTACGGCGGAAGGCAACACAGAAGTGAGCAAATTGTGGATGGTGGACCTTGGAGGAAGTGAGCGGCTATTGAAAACAGGAGCAATTGGGCAGACTCTTGATGAGGGAAAATCCATAAACCTGTCTCTCTCAGCTCTAGGGGACGTTATTGCAGCTTTGAAAAGAAAGCGCAATCACATTCCTTACAGGCAAGTTCTCATTTCTCAATTGGGTTGTTTTCAGGACCACGGCTTTACACATGTGACATTTTGTCCCATTGCTTCCATAGTCACAATGGACCATAAATACCTCACTCCAGCTCCATTTATTCTGAAAAGGCAATCTGTTTTAACTTGGTTAATTTTTCCTTATACACAGAAATAGCAAGCTGACTCAAATTCTCAGAGATTGCCTTGGTAAAGCTCTGCAATTTGATGTTTGTTCCTTTAACTGTATAGATTGTACCAACCTCCTAAGTGCTAATTGCTAAGCTACACCTTTGTTGATTCAGGTGATGGCTCAAAGGCATTGATGCTTGTGCATATAAGCCCATGTGAAGAAGATGTTGCTGAAACAATATGTTCTTTGAATTTTGCGAAGAGGGTGAGAGGGGTAGAGTCCAATAGGGAACTTCCAGAGGTATATCACTTTGCAACTGATAATAGTGATTCTACATGCTATCGTTTTCTTTCTTTTTTGTTTTTTTTTTTTCAATCAGGCATTCTTTTTGTTTTTAGGACTTGAAGAAGCAGCGGGCAAAGAGGATTGCTGAGCTTGGTGAAGAGATGAGAGATGCTGAAGAAGAGTGTCATAAAGTAAGGAACCAACTACAGAGAGCTGAACTTCTCTTACATGAAAACAAGAAGCTTTTCTCAACCACTTATGGACTTCTTGAAGAAGACCAGAAAGAGGCTCTCCTAACCCCCACCAAAGATCATAGAGAAGTCAGAGGAACTCCTCTTACAGATGATAAATTTACTAGAAGAAATGTTTTCCATTCTATGCCTCGGTTCATGACTTCAACAGTTGCCAGTCGCCAAAGGCAAAACTCCATGGAAGGGGAAATTAATAGAAGAGTGAGAACTTCAAGATCTGGGACTAGAAGTACAATATTATTTTCAGCATCTCAGTCACTCAGTTACACAGATCCTCATTTTAAGATGATCCTTCGAAACAGACATAAGAAACCCCGGCATGGAGAACAAAATACTCTACTTGCAGAGAGCCCAAATTGCAATCTGTCGGCCTCGATGGCATCTTCCATACCACGAAACAAGAGGGTCACTACCTCTTATTCTAATTTGAGAGTCACAGTGGGTCACCACAGAAGAAGGATGTCAGATCTGATCTGAGGGAATAAAATTCTTTACCATAGCTTTTTAACATTCTGTAAAATGTGTTTTGTTTTCATGTTTCGGTTAAAGGTTATAAAGTGCTGAGGTCTTGTTTTATTTTCCATTGTATACTGGCAGTTTGTTCAGGCTTTTATGCGATCTGTTAAATATTTGTCTAGTGATCTCATCTGACCACCTGGAACTAGATCTTTACTGTATTCAAAGATTATTTTGGAAACATCTGAGGCTTGAATTTTGTATCTTTGAAATTTCCCTACACTGTTCTACAACCAAATAATTGTGTAAACTGTTTATGTGCTCACTTGGTTCAATCATTTCTGCTGTGTACAATCATCATCATCATCGTCATCATCATTGTCATCATCATATAAATATTATATGGGGTTGGCTACATGAATCCTGTTTTACCACTCCGTTCTGTTTGGTGCCAACATTTAACCAAAACTGTGAATGATCTTCTGATCAATTGCTTTTCGGTGGTTGCTAAAAAAAATCGTTGGAGCTGATTGTTGAAGGGGCAATGACTGATGAAGCTGTGGGTTTTGCAGTCTCCTTTGGAAATTTTTAGATGCTTGCTTGCTTCAGACCACTTGAGGACGTCTTACTTGTATTCACCTGAATTCCCTCTTCCCACATCCTGGTTCAAATGCGTGGAGGTATTTTGATCACCATATCGTAATATTCTACTATGTAAATCATAGAAACAAAGCTCCACAGTATTCCACCAATACGGCAAAGAGAGACATTAATATGTATGCTGTGTCTTCAGTATTCACGGGCTTTAGTTCAGTATATATGATTTTATTTGTTTACTCATCTGAGGCCAACCATGTGATGGTAAAATGCTTGCTCTGCCACCTGCATGATAAGATAACTATAAATTTACTTCTCACTTTCTCAAGTCTGGGCTCTACTTGTCTGTCTTGTTGTGGCCTTGTGGGTGACTGGGTTCTTGAACCAGACCTCTGAAGAAATTCCCCCTTAGGAGTGGAGCCTTTTATCGTGAACCATCCTGATTTTGAATTAATTGGATTATGGAAGAGGAGACCCTTCCGGATAAGCTACCTTTTCTCACTTTTTACAGTGATGACAATGGCGATCATAATATCATATCTGAAGTGCTCTGGGCACTTGCCTGGTTGGTGGACCCATAGGTTGGGTGAAGAGATTTTATGTTGGGGATTCTATATCCAAGTTTTTCTAATCTTCTATACTATGGATTTAGATTTGCTCTTTGTAGTCTCGTTCTCCATTACCTATGTTCCTATATGAGCACATGGGAGATGGAGACCTGTGATTTAATTGGTCCCACAATCATGGCCGTCTAATCTATAACATTCTTTTGGATATAAAAGATCCTAAGATCTCAAGAAAGAAAAAAAAAAGGAAACTCAGAATAAGGCCCACTTATTGGGGCATTTTGAATCATCTGACCAAATTGGGGGCTGTTTAGTCCCATTGATGTTTATTTAATAAACGTTTTGTACTACATTTTCCTTGAAAAAATGAGAAAAACTGTTGAATAACATTTTTTGACAGGTTGAATAGTGAAAAAATATGCCAAGGCATTGGAGGAAACATAAATAGATAGATTTTCACACAATCTGAAAAAAATATTTATTTGATAAATGATTTAATCAAACAACATTTCAAATTCCATTGGAGAAATGCCTATGTAGTGCTGAGCTTGTGCCATTCTTCAGTAAACGGCAATGAAATCAAACACTATTTTGAATTCTAGATTTTGGTGGGTTTCAAACTGTTTCTATGCTATGACTTCCCATCAGGATCCAGCTATTCAATTCGATCAAGTTCAGATGTTTCAGTTGTATTATATATATTCCTTAAGGGCAGCTTGTAGATGCTGGATGGCCCTGAGGCCTTCATGGTTTTTGAAAGCATGGGCCACCAATTGAATGATAATGACCATTTAGGGGGTGATTGACAATAAGGGTGGTTTAGCTATAATTTTGCTGATGTGTTTTCAAAAACAAAATCAACCACGTTGTCAAATACCCCCTTAATTTATTAATGATTTTCTTGGAATGCATCATTGTGACTTTTTATAACCCACATAACTAAATCATTGGTCTAATTTTAGTACTGCTTTTAGGATGTGACCCATTAGCCAATAGATTGATGTGCTCATTGACCTACTTTTTCTCCCATGATTTCAGATTTGGAGTTAAAAGAAGTAATTTGTTCTACTTGTTGATTAGGAAGATAGTAGTTACTGCCACACTTCAGAACCCATTGGGAGTATGAAACATGAAAACAGTGTTTTTTTTTTCCCACAAGTAAAATAACTCGGGTAGTCAAAAAGAATATGGGTAAAAATAGTAAGAAATGATTTAAACACTAATAATTTAATAGTGAATATGGCTTTAAATAGAACCGATTGATGAAACAAAATTCATATAGCCGGTCTCATATAGTTGGGATAAAGCATGGATGATGATGATGATGACAGTGAAGTAGAGCTCCTAGTCACTGAAAATCTGAACTGGAAAAAAAGATTGGTTGTTTTGGTTTGAAAACAATTCAACTTGCAAAGCCCCTGAAGCTGCCCTACCTCCAAGGACAGGGGTTGATGGGCAGGCTGGCCAGAGGAGCATTATTTTTCATTTTTGGCCCTTTTATTGCCTCAGTACCTAATTCCATTCTCAACTTACAATTAAAAAGTATACTTTCTTGGTTGTTGTTGGGTGCATGCTTAACATTTTGTCCTTTTGTTTAATGTGATTTTTCCTATTATTCTTTTCTTAGGTTAGGTTCCATAGACTTGGATCAATATTATAGGTTACCTGTTCTTTGCACTATATCTGAATTATCAATGCCTTTCACTTGAGATTTTATTCTTAATTTGTGGTGCCTTATGTTTAATTTTTGAAGCCTTGTGGTATTCCTGTAATCTTAAATCAATAAGATAGTTCAAGGGAATAAATCAATTTTCAAATCAACTGAAAATGGTTCTATAGTCATATATATGCAATTTCCCTTCATCCATGTTTTTGCTTTCATGAGTCATGACCATTTTGATTAAATGAATCCAACCATTGAAGATTTCAGGTTGGGAATTTTGTCTGATGAAACCTAGAAGTATGAAACTGTGAAGTAAGAATCATATGTATGTCATTTGTCACTTTTCTGGGTAAATGATGGTAAGGCCTTATTTAATTCTGATTTGCAGTTTGCACAGCTTTAAATTCAGCTGATTTTTTCTTCTCGGCATTCTATTTCAAAAGATTCAAAACTAGGTTACACCAAGAAATATTTAATGTTTAAGGGCATCAAAGGCTGGGATAGATGTGGTGGGTTCAAAATCAGAGGGCCATGTGCAAGGTTTGACAACAAATCTTCACAGTTCTTTTAACTATTTTTGCTGTGTGTTCATGTGCTTGTGGGACTTGGATCAAAGTTTAGTGCATTGTATTTGTACTGCTTGAACATGAGACTGATAGTATAGAGTTGTAGGTTGATACTTACGTCATCTAAATTGGACTGAAGACACCATGAATTAAGTTTTAGAGACAACCTAGTCCTCAATGTTCTGTTAATAATAGTAAAACAAGTTAGTGCATTTGACTTCACAATTAATAAATGAACAATGATTTGTCCAGTCTAGCCTGAGAAAGATTTGAGGTTTCACAATAAGGAACGAACAATTTTTAAATTGAAGAAGGCAATATGTAATTGTTAAGTACATGGAATACGGTTTGCAACATATGCTTCATGCAGCACTCCAGTCATTAAAACCCATTTATTCATTGAGGTGGAGTGTATTATAATTTTTACTCTATTTTTAATCTGGTAATTCATGAGGCAGAAGGGAGAGAAGCACTAATGGCATCAATCTAGAGAAAGAAAATTTATGATCTATCTTTACTATTTGGAGTTGGGTGTCGTTTTCCTCTGTAAATATGTCTGCCTTGTGAGCCCATTTGGGATTTGGGAGGCTTCTGCGTTGATTGACCTGCATTGATTGAGTACCCGTTTGGGAGGGCTTTCGGGCAGCAGCTTCTGGCATTCAAAGGTAGGCTGCACATGGAAGACCCAGAAGTTATATTTGGTGAAAATCCAGAAAGCCAATAAATTGTTGAGTTAATATGAAACGGGGGTGGATTAGCTGGAGACAAAAACATACACACCCGGCTGAATTACCTATCACGATTGGACATGCTAGTGTTTAGTACAATTGGGTTCCAAATGGGGAAAGTTGGGTCAATGGGTATTTCTTTCATATTGACCAATTTTACAATATTTTTTCCTACTTGAGGAAAAAATATTATAAAACATAATGGAACAAATTTATCCTTTTTAACATTATCTTTTTATGGATAAAAATGTCATTACATTAATTGGGAATCAAAAGAATATGGGCAATAACTTACTTGGGTAAGTGTTACCTAAAAAAACATTTACATGGATATGTAAATGAGAAATTTGTAAATGAACGAGGCCTTAGAATGACTTACCCAGAACTGGTACGAACAACTCAACCAAAGCAGTAACTCATTGAAAGCTGAAGCCTTCCCAAATGGACCCTTAGCTGCTTGGAGAAGTTAACTGAGATGGCTTCATCGGAAAGTCAATTTAACGGTCTATGGAAGTCTATTTTCGACTTTCCGGTTGCTTACTAAGCATGACTTTCCTGAAAGCCCTACCAAATAGGCAATGCCATTCCCAGGTGTAAAAACATAAAACTAGTTTACTTTGAAAAGCCTAAGGCCAGTTAGATTTTAATCTTACTAAAAAAATAACTGCCATCATTTCCAATATAAATGGCCATAATCCATTAGTAACATCAAAATATTGTTTGGATTTAAATATCATATAGGCAGTGTTTGGTAAAAAAGAAAAGGTAGGGAAATTAGTGTTTGTTTCCATTAAATATCATTAGTAGCATTCGAATATTCTTTCCCTACCTTTTCTTTCAAGCCAAATACAGCAATAATTATTGTCCTTTTGATTGGATTATTGAAAATAATAGTAGAATATGTGCAGTCAGGCTTCAAAATTTCGTCACATATCAGCCCACATGGGTCAATATGTATCATATTGGTGGGTCACTAATACACAAAATATAGTTGTTTCGGACATTGGACCTATTCCAGGAGGTAGATATGCCTAAAACCATGGTTTTTAAAATCGGATTAGACCGGACGGTTGGACCGGAAAAAATCGGGAACCGGTTAGGTCTGGTTTCATTTTTCCTCAAAATCGTTGATTTTGATTAACAAA